ACGTCTAAGTATTAATTATGTATTAAATTAATTAAACTTATTTCGAGTAAATAACTCTATACAAAAATACTAACTAAAAACAAAAACATTGATCCGTCGTGTTTCTGTAATGCTCTAGTTATTTAATTCCAAAACGTAGGTACATACAGTAAGGTGTGTTTAACCTTAACATTGATTAGGTAGGTACAGATCGCGGCTCAAGCTGTTCAGCTCTAACCTTATTGCGTCGTAATGGAAGCTATTTTAAAACAAATTCGCCAGCTTGAGCCGTCTCCCTGCGTATTAATAATATCACGTCACATTCCTAAAGTATATACAATGTATTTTTTAAATTGTTTACATACGACTTGCCAAACACGAATTTTGACTTCTACCTAATCATTATATTTTAATCTAGTGTCTAAACCGAATTTTACAATTTATACGCCGAAATATTTTAGGTACATAATTTTGAATTTTTTACATTTAACCGTTTCCAATCAATTGTTGTTTAATTTACAAGTGTTCTCATTTGTACAATTTTGTTTTTTCAAACGAACCAATCACGACACTATCACAATTAGGATAGAAAATTTACAAAAGCGAATAAAGTAAATAAGACTAGAATACAAAAATTCGAATAAAGAACATGGTTGTTTACATATCCGTCAAAAATGTAAACATTTTATTCGAATATAATATAATGATTTGTACATAAAAATAATTACCCGAAAATTATTAATTTTGAAATTAAAAAGTTGTTACAATTTGTAATAAAAAAAAGATACTTAATTATTGTAACAACGCAAAGTGCCTTATGTGACATTACAGAGCCTAGGCATAGAATAACATAGACAAAAAATGAATGCGCTGTTGGCCATTTTTTTCGATTACGATTTTATTTTTAATTTAGGTTTATTTTACGATGCCGAAATATTGAATGCAATTTTTATGTCTGATTACTAAATTATTTTGGTGGTTAGCGTTTTTAAAATTATCTAAAAATGTTCTACCTCAAAATGGCTGTGACACATGATTGAGCTTAGAGAGCCCTAATTAAAACACCAATATAGATCGCATTATCTATGACATTTAAGTACAAGGATTTTTTTGTATTTATGATTTTTTATTTCGTTGTTTACTACTTACGTAACATAGACTAAGTAATCATTTTCAACGTTATTATTCGATAAAAAAGTTACTTAGTCTATGTTTATAACGGACCCCTTTATAAAAAATACAGTTGTATTCAATATTTTCATTGCGTAATTTTATAAAAGAGCCCCGTATTACATTACATTAATTATGCTAACTTACAATATAAGATATATGTAACTACTGTGTGAGATATAAATTGAAAACCTGGCTATCCTGTCTACCCTTAAAATTACGAATAAACGTGTATATTTGACTAAATATTTCATAAAACAAGCCAATACAAACAACAAAACGACAAAGCTTTAAAACAAAAAAGAACTTTAACAGTCAATTAGGATGCTTAATTCAAATCAACAGCAAGTTATTATTAAAAACTTAACAATCAATCACTACACTTGAAATATTTTAGAATTGCAAAAGTATGAAATAAAATTATTATTAAATTATTTCACACTTTTGCAATTCTGAAAAATGTTGCAAAATCTGTGCAGTGATCATAACGTGAAATAAAGAATGTAATGTAATCGCAAGTGTTGTTTTGTGAAATAATTTTGTAATCTAGAACTAAAGATGAATTTACAGCAGCTTCCCCAACAATTACGAATACTTTAGCTACCATAAGCTGGCTGTCTAATCTTTATGACCGATGTTAAATATGGTAAACGCAGTTGTAAATTCATTATTAGATATTTTGTTCCCGTTCTTACTAACTTGTGTTAAAAGATTAAGAACAAATTTCGAACTGATCGAAAGTCACCTCTTATAATTTATGTGATTTTTGTGTTTAATTCTTTAGATTTATCGAGAGTTCAACTACACTCTCTCATTTAATTCTCGATTATTTAAATCAGTTTGAGATGTTTTTATACTTATATATCTAGCTTTAAAACACAACAAATAAAACAATAATCGATTATCAAATATAAATACAAAACGGCCAATTAAACTACAACATTACAAAGTGTGTCTCAACCATTTCTAAATGAGAACGGGCCAACAACGCATTGTTAAAGTGAGAGAAGGCGGAGACACTAGCTACCGCAGGTTTAGTTTTGACATCAACAGAATCCAGTACTATTGATACTAAAAAACGAGCTCAAAGAAAAATTTTATTATTCGAATCGTAACGATAAAGTTTTTCCTTAAGTTCGCTCCTGGGCGACGCTGTAATCGCTATTTTATTATTAGTTAGGCTTTATTAAAGTATTAAATGTACACAGCTTATCTAAGAATTTTTATCATAAAATAAACGTCGAAAAAATTTTACTTTTACAATTTTTCCTTCAACGCTAAAAAATTTAACCGTCGAAAACTTAAAAGTAACCTCTGACAACTTTCAGACACGATCTGTTATTTTTATTAACTATTCCTTTTCGATGATCACAGAAAATACAATAACTTCTACATATCTGTGCGACACAACTATAAAGTGGTTTCCTATATCATAATTTTGGTTTATTCAAAAAATCTTATAGCAAAATTCCGGTTTCGTCGAAAATAGTGATATTTTTTTTACAAATATTTTTACAACTATTTATGTGCCACACTAGACATGTAGAAGTGACGTCATGAACACTTTCTTGGAAACGTAACTTTTGCTCTAAAAATCTAATGTAGGATACATGATCCGTGCTTTTTTCTTTTGTACAACTCGAAAATCGCTCGAGTCTAGTTCCTTAACACGATGGTTCATTAATTATAACTTTAAAAATACCAAACGTCCATAAAATTTTCCTTCTACTATGACCTAAAGTTAAAACAATACCATTTATACAATATTCATAGGAACTTCTTTTGTTGTTATATTAATTTATTTATATATTAAATTTATGAGGAGATTTTTTACATATATAGCGATCTATTTATGTTTTTTATTGCGCTTAAAAACATTTTCTGTGTTATTTCTTCTTAATTTTTGTCAGTCGAATTTATTGTTTTTTGTATATTATCAAGTATATTCACGTTTCCTAGAAAAATTAATCTTCATCGGGTAACCCTTCGCGTCAATATAACTGGCCGTTTACACACCAAATCATATGAAAAACCTGCCGAAATGTTTTGTATTTTAAAAGGAAAATACGATAACGAGAAAAAAAGTAATTGAATAAAAACTCCTTTCCACAACCAAAGATCACGACGTAAATTATAACGATTTTTTGGGCTATTGCATTGTGATTTTTTTCTCTATTTACATTGATATTCCTTCGCAGCAAGTCCGCACACTACATAAAGGGCACGCGTGTGCGTATTACTGTACCGGCGATATCAATATTAATTCAAGAACGAAATAATTACGTACGTTAAATCAGCTTACTATTACCTTACCTATGTTACGATTATACGTATAATAATTACAACTTGCGCGTACAGATTCGTGTAAATGCGATTTTGTACGCGCAATTTGTCACTTATTTATAATACATGATGATAATATTAAAAGAATTAATATTCGGCAACACTTGACATTCTTATTAGGAAATTGCAAAATTGCATCCCGTTTTGTAACACGTAGCGACAATTTTGCAATTTTGTGAACTACGAAACTATTGTAATGGCAACACTTCCAGCGTCATGGACGTTGTGCATTAAATATTTATTATAAAGCGTTTCGCTTTATTATTTATTGATCATTAAGAAATGATCATCGGGCTATTGTAGTGTGTATTTAATTTGAAATAAAAAATAACATATATGGGCTGTTTAAGTTTATTAACATTCGTGGTGTGAAGAATGCCTCGTGTTTGTATTTAACATTAGTTTTGTTGGTCGAATTATTAAAATATTTTCGACTGACGTCCAACTGGGTAATTGTAATGGTGTCTGTAATCGATGTAGTGAAAAAATCGATATTTGATTGTAATCGCCTTCGATCCATCTCTGTATACTTAATTATTTACAAACAAAAGTATACGGCAGTCTTCTGAAAACATAAAATTCAATATATTTATTTACAACTCCACGAGATTTGTAAATAATTGCTTTATTACTTTGAAAAATAATAATAAATGTAAAATAATAATATACTATATCTGTTATAAACAAAAACATCAATGCCTACTATATTATGTACAATTTTAGTACTAATATGGCGTTTATTTTTTAAAGTAGGTAATAATATAAATTAAAAGACAAGGCGGTAAATAACTCGAAAAAGAGAATAGAAATAATTTTGATTTTTAAAAATAGAATATTTGTGCGTTCTAAATGTGACTAGTATAAGACGTGTTATTGCGTGAGAAAAGTTAAAAGATTTAAAATCATATACAATTAAGAAACACCTTAGTGAAAACTTAATAATAGCAACTAAATATTGCAAAGATTCGCTAAATGCGATATAAAAACGTGCTAAAACAGTTTGGCACATCCAAAAGTTTGTACTAAGCTAAGAAATACGACGCTCTGTGGTAAAGCTAATAAAAATAAATATATCTCAATAATAAACATCAATAAACGAAATAACCATTGAAGATTGCACTGAGTTATTTGTCATAGTTCTCTACATTTCTAATTACTTGTTCGGGCGAGTTTCTTGTTCCGATTTGTTCATTCAACTATTTTAAGGTACCTTTTTTTAAATTTATATATACAGAAAAAGTCGTCTCCACTACATATACGTTCCCTATTTACAACAGTTATAACTATCTAAAATACGGCTATCATTAAACATTGTATAATTTCTGAACGGCTAAAAGGAAAATAAACTTTTTTTTAAGTTCCGGAATTGTCAACTGTTGTAAAAAAGCGTAAACGAAATTACTAATCAGAGGCGATTTCGTTTCCCTCCTAAAAATCAATTTAATTTTGCTTTTCGAAAATATAACTCGAATCAACATATCGATTTGTATACGAAATAGATTTTTTACTCAAACGAAATTGCATCGGATTAGTAATAGGTGAATTTTCATGGTTGGGGGTTTTGTTGTAGGTGGACTGCTTGTTGTGCAGCTTGTTGAGCGGCTTGAGCGACATGGGCTGCTTGCATATGTTGCTGTTGAGCCTGAGCCTAGCCTGAGCCTGAGCCTGGGCCTGAGCCTGAGCCTGAGCCTGAGCCTGAGCTGAGCTTGAGCCTGAGCTTGGGCCTGAGCTTGAGCTTGAGCTTGAGCCTGTGCTTGAGCGGCTTGTTGAGCAGCGACAGCTTGCTGGGCCGCCTGCTGGGCAACTTGTTGCGGTGAAGGTATATTAAAGCCAAGCATTCTCGGATCGTGCAATCGCAACGCTTGCTCTAGTCTCTGTTCCTGTGCGATTCTGAACGCCTCTACGAGCTCGGGTGAGAGTTGGCCGCTTACGTCATTAGGCTGTGCTGGAAAACCGCCGTTATGTCTAAGTGGACTAGTGGCGTCATTGCCGTGTGCTGCTGCCGCTTGAGAGACCGCCAATCTGAGCGCTTCAGCCTGACTTCTTAGTAATGCTTCGGCTTGTTGCATTCTAAGCGCCGCCTCGTTTGGTGTGGGCGTTTCTGGTTGCTGCGGTGGTTCTCGTGCGAGTTGCTGTCTCATTGCGGAAACTAAGTTTGCGGCTGCCACTTGGACTGCATTTGCTCCTTCTCCTGGCTGAGCCATCATGTTCGCTGCAGCCGCCGCTATGGCCGCCACTCTCTCATCTCCGTACGCTTGGTGTCCGTTATTGGATCTGAGTAAATCGGTGAGCTTGTTGACTGTTGCGCCCGCTTCTGACCCGGCTGATGAGGAAAGCCGCCCGTTAGATGAGGAATCTGAATGGGTTGGAGACGGTGGGGCCAGGTTTAGTAAACCAGATCCGCCGGCGGAAGCGGAAACGGCGGCTAAGATATCTCTTTCTCTGCGCTCAGCCGCTGCCCGTGAGAGAACGTACTGGGCGGCGAACTGGTGTTTCGGTTCCATTCTCATGTGCTCCATGTGCGAAAGTAGTCCTGTAAAATTTTAAAAATGATTAACTATGGGTTCAACTTGTATAATTATCATTATCGTTATATCTTTGTCTTTAAATATGTAATTCTTCTGTACGTATTTTCGTAACGGAACACCTCCTAACTAAACGACAGGATCAATTTTGATGTTAAAGTTAAGTTATTCATATATGGACTCGTTAGGTATCGCTGTTGTCTAGAAATCGACGTCTAGAATTTTTAATAATTTTGATTTGATAAACTTTTTAAAGACAGCTATATGCCTGGTCACAGTATCTCATTGTTACGTTTTAGGTCCTGGCTTCGGATCGAAATTTAAAAAAGAATGGAAATCTTCGGTTCAGATTTGGTTGTGTTGTGACTATTCCTAAATACCTGGCATCGTAGTCCAGCACCGATTGATTGCTGATTTACACCGGACACACGAGGATACTTGGATAAAGGAATGCGCTATTCTACGTTCAGCGGAATTGACAATTTCCTTAGTCCCGTGGTTACCATTAATTGCACGTATGGGTCGGCTCGACCGGGGTAAGACTTACAGAATACCAGCGTTAAATAGCATATATAGTTATGGTGATATAGTTATGGAGAGAGATAGTGATAGTTATGGTGAGTGTAGAGAAATGGAGATCCTTTTTAATGGATTTTGATTCTGAATAGACGTCTGTGGTCCACAGCATTTATTTACCATCAGATCGAATGATACGTTTGACACCCTCATTCGATTTAAAAAAAAAACTTATTCAACCATGTTGTGGCAGCATTAGTATTGTTAACTCATCTCCAAATGAAATAATAAGGGCTAAATGAAAAGCGTTACGTGTGACATACATCGTGCATGATAAACACATGCTTTTATATGTATAACAGTAAATAGCGGTCGATAAAAATGTATAACGAACGTCCTGCTCGCCTTAGACTAAGGCAAGGAATATCATCGATGAAAGTAAAAGTCCAAATAGACCGGTACAATGAGAGATCTAAGATATCCGAACCACAAATGGGAACCGTTGACCATATTATAGTGGTGATGTCAGAATATCCACTAACGCATAGCGTCTTGAAGGTGTCGTTTGTCGACGAAGGGAAACAAACCAGGAGATGTGCAGCTGCGTCAACTTCTCTTCCGAACGCCAAGCGTGACAACTATTGGAAATACATACCTAAGAAGCAATATATGGGGAGGCTTTTGTTCAGCAGTTGATATTTAAAAAACTGTAAAAGATAACATACATGCAGAAAAGGTTTGTGGTGCAAGAGATCAAAACTCTTATATTCCCAATAATGTACAAAGCGCGACATAAAAAACAAATTTAACTTAGGAGCAGTTTCAATTAAGTAAAGACATAGGATAGGCTATGATATCTATTATTAAAAAAAAAACTTTAAACTCGTGTTTTCTTGTATAAAAACTAATAAATTACCTCAAATCCCATCTTTACCGCACTCATGACCACGGGGGGGACGGGGGGGGGGGACAAATCTTTGACGTCTCAATACCCACGTTTTTAATTTTGCAGACGTATCATATGAACGTTCTTTATTTAAGCGTTAATAAACATATAATGAAAACCTAGTAATACGTTTGCTAACAATTAAACCTTCATTAATTTCGTGTGGTCGTTTGCAACGCTGATATAAAATACTAAAGTTTATAATTTAAATATTTTAAATCCTGTAATAAATAATAGAGTGAAGAAGGGACATCTTGAATGATTTTGAATACGACAGTATCATGGCAGTATCACCCATTTGAATACTTTTAACATAATGTATTCAGTGTTTATGTCAAACGTGTTGCGGAGACAATAACGTTTAAGGTTTTATAGGCAATGTCAAGAGTACTGAGTTAGTCACAATAGACTCAATAACTACAAAAAAAAAAAAACACATAAAGAAGATCAATTTATGATGTGATATATTTGTAGTATTATTTATATTGAATAAAGCTAATTTTACGGATTTTATCATAGAATACTATAATACACAATAGAATGGCTGTCAACTTTATTTTGTACGAGGATTGGCGTCGCCAAACCCGATTCGCTGTGTTGACAAACCGAGTAAATTTACACATTTTAGACTTTTGATTAATGTTCAAGTTTGTCGTTAAAAAATCGTTTAAATGTTAATACATATGCATTTGTAAATAGGGTGCTATTTGGCATTTTCTAAATAATTTTCATGCGAAATTCGGAAACGATTGTAACGTCAAAACACATCTCGTGTTGACATTTATACGTGTGAATTGACGTGTTAGTGACATTTTATTGGCTATGCAGGCTCCGCCCACTCCCCGTTCCATAATGTACGTATTATAGTGTTCTATGGATTTTATCCTGTTAAATTAAACCTATTTTAGTTATTTTAGATTGAGGTGTTTGACGTCTCGTTGTCATAATCAGCCCGGCTACCTTCAGTTTTTGAATATAAACTTTTGGTCCAATCTACGCATAACGAGCTTATAAAATCTTGAAGATTTGCAGCGGTATATTTGGGTTTGAATATAATTTCTAGTAAGCTTAGTGGGAGCTATCAAAGGAAACATTAGTAGTGTTAGTAGCATTCCCAGTTTATTGGTATTTCTTTTTTTTTAAATAAAAACACTTACCATTTTCATGTGTGAACACGGCCTGGCAAACAGAACACGGCCACATCCGCAGGCTGCTAGTCAGCTGCGTCTCTGGATGACAAGCGAGATGCTTCCTCAGGGAACCCTCATTGACGTAGTGCTTCCCGCAGACAGGACACGGGTGGTTTGCAGTACGCCGCTTCGCTATATAAGGATCAATTGGTTTAGCTTGCGCTGGGTACGGTGAAGTGGCGGGTGGACCTACCATTTTCACCAGGAATGGGTAGGTTAGTGGGTTAGAGAGGGGAAAGAAAAAAAAATATCCGGTTAGTCATGTTAGTTTAATAAACATTTAAAACTGACGACTTTTGGTCGAAATTTAATATGAGTTTATTTTGTGACAAAGCTTAAAAAGTTGTCATCACATCACAAATCAACGAAAAGTCGCAGTTATTATGACAAACTAAGTGATAGAAATCGCAACGTAAACAACTTGGAACGGAACAAAAACCACGGAGTAGATCAATTATAACACGGCGGCTGTAGTTTGTGAAACGTCGACAACATTAGCTAAAAGATAAACAAAACATGTTATGATAATACAGTTGGAACTCCATCCGAAGAATCTGTCGTTCGTAGCAAGAAATGTTTGCAAAACACTCTACCCTTCTACTAGAACAATAACCGACGCTCCCTCGGATGGTTTCCTAGCTTACTCAATAAAGTTAAGGCTAAAATTTATGGAAACGATACGTTTTTGTTTTTACCGTTGATTTTAAAAACCAACACCCCTTATGGCTTTGAGCCAGCTGGAAGCTTTTATCTTTACAATGTAAAATAATTCGTTAGAAGTAACAAATGTTTCTGTCGCGTCAGCATTTTAAGTGTTAAAACTTCCAGTGACGTGACTTACAGACTAATAAATCTCTTCTGTTTAGAGTGTAATATAAAACCTCCGATTACGAATTATATTTTATTTATCTTTTTAAATTTAGCAAGAACTAAAATATTTAGACACTGGCCACAAAAGAGATGACTTACAGCTATACTTAAAAATAAACACCCTCGACGCCATCTAAATGTAAAAAAGAAACCTTATCTATACGAAATAGATTACATTCCTTTTTCGAATTTTGCAATACCGTATCCCGGCGGGATTGTAATTAAAAATCCGAACGTCCGTCGGGACACTTACTGGCAACGCCGGACGCGTTGGGATCCTTATGCGTGTTCTTCATATGTTCGACTAGGGCTTCGCCCCCGAATACGACTTTGTGGCATATCGGGCAGGGCGTTGCGGCCGCGCCGCCGATCATGAGGGCCGCGTGTTGCTGCAAAACACCAAGGTGCAGCTGAAGCTCCTGTTCAGCACCCGGTGGCGATGCGGGCATAGCAGTGTAAAGATTAGCATACATCCACAATAAAAACACAAAACAAAGAAGTAATCGAAAAGGAATTTTGGTAAATTAATATAAATCGTTTTGAAACTGAAGAAAACTTTGCCAAAGAGAATTTTGTAGTAACAAAAAATAGATATATTTACGTTATAATTATAATTGTAATACAGATAAAAAATAAATTTAATATGCACATTATATACAGCTTACAAATTAGTTATCATAAGATTTTAGTGAAAATGGCTGTAGCGAAAATTCGATTTTTGAATTTAAATGTGCTGTCTGATAGAATTCGATGTGTATATTTAAGCTTAAAAAATCAAAATTTAGGTAAATTTAGATTTAGTTAAAATTAAATATAACATACATTAGATATTGCCGCCGATGTTCCGGCTAGCACTGTCCTCGATTTTCGGATTTCGCTCAGCTCCTTAATCATAGCATAATGAATTACAATAATTTTAATATATCAAATGCCAACAACACGACAAAAGTTAGAAATGATTTGGTAAGTCACAAGCGGTAATTTTTTTTAAAAGATTTTTCATAATGCTATGGTAATTTCATGTAAGTAAAATGTATACTAATGTATTAGTGTTTATCACATTCTCACAGTGCAATAAATTCATTTGCATAATAGCAGTGAAGTTCTTTAATAAATTTAACGTAGGTATAGTATACCTAACGTAGGTATATATATATATATATATATAATATATATATATATATATATATATATATACCTAGTATCCTTTGTCACTTTATTTATATAGTGGTGACCATCTTGCGGATAGTACTGGATGCCTTAATGCAGCGAAGCTTAGGTTTTGTGGCAACCTCTGGGGACCTACGAGTATGTTCAACAGTGGACTCATGATTGCACTGTCTAAAGTATGATTTGGTAATTTCGTAAGAGATGCATCGTCACATGTTTTGTAAGACCTTAAGAGAAGAAAGCTATCGTAGATTAAGTAGTAAAGAAAAAACATATCAAAAAGGATTCATCGATTATTAAATAGAATAAGCTAGAGCTAGACGTAATATTTGGCCTAAGTCGCAATTTCATAATCCGAGGGGGATCTTTATCATCCTTATTTAGGCTTAGGACTATAAGGTCTGTACATAGGTCAGCAAAATTTAAGAGTCAGAAAAAAGGTTACTACTATACTCAATAAACTCAGCAGTGGGACTGTATACGCTAATATAATACTACAATTTCACATAATAAGAAAAATGTCGAGCTGAGTCTAGGGTGCTGTTTCACTCAAATTTCCTACTTTCTCCATCTATATCCTATTCCGGGTCTGAATGTTTGTCTATGTATAATTTATATACGTAAATCGACTCCACGGTACAGGAGAAATAGTATTCTAGTGTTGAGATAAATTTAATTTTACATAAAAAGGAAAAGAAAACTTTAGTAGTCGTCGTCGAGTTTGGATGATGAAAAACATTATTCTAATCCTCAAGCTTTCTTAAATACTGACCTTTGCAGTGTGTGTACGTAGGCTGCTTTCGGTCGCAAAGCCCTTGCCACAGATGTTGCAATGGAAGGGGCGATTTTTGGCCCGCTCAACCTGCGCGTCATGGTTCCGAAGGTGTTGCTGCAGGTTAGATAGCTGGATAAAAGCCCGTCCACAGTCCGGTAAATGACATTTGTAGGGGCGTTCACCTGGAAATTATATACGCAATTACGATTGTTGCAAAGTAGAATTGTTGGATTTATACCATAATACAATATTTACGTGGTTATCGCAACTATATTATGATTGTAGCACGAATTGGTCGGCTACACTGGGGAAGGACCACGCTTTCATAGAATACTGCTGTTTCGTATGGTGAGTGTAGAGAACCGGAGACCTTTTTTTACTGAAAACGAGGCATTCCATCCTAGTTCTAAAGGGTGACAACGCATCTGCATTTGGATTTGTGATATATGTTTGTGTCTACGGGTCACAGCATCCACTGACTATAAGATAGACTGTGTTCTCGTTCGTCACCATTATTTTATAAAAAAAAATGATAATATCCCCTCGGAATAAAGAGATCGCTACCAAGGTATTTGTAATTTGTTTTGTGTAGATAATTGTGCAACATAATATTATATAAGCTGTTTTTCTTTCAATATCAAACTGAACTTCTTGCTGGTTCTTCCCAGGACAGAAGTATTTTCCGAACCATTGGTAAATTAATACATAAGAATTACTTTAAATAAGTATTATTTACAATGTATATGGAATAAAAAATTCTATTTGTAAAGGGTCAGAATGAAGCACAAAGTCCACCTTTTTTAGCTAGTTCAAAATTAGCCCACCATAACAGCCCTTAACAAGTCCACTTCTGAACATAGGCGTACCCCAAGGAATGCCACAAAGCACTGTCCTAAGCCACCTGCATCCATCAACTTCATGCATGTCTTACCAGGTCGCCACTACATTTAGTGGGGGGTCGCCCTATACTTCACCTACCGGTATGAGACTGCCACTCGATAACCTTTTTTCCCATTGTCTAAAGTAGCCCATTGCCACTTTAGCTTACTCATACGTTGGGCTATGTGGATCAGAATTGCCTTGATTTTATTCACTCATGAATTCGTAACAGCCTATCAAAAGTCCATCACTGAACATAGGCCTCCCACATAGGGAGGGATTAGCCATAGTTGCAACGCTTGGAAGACAAGCTGACAACCAAAGTTTTTACTATTTTTAGTTGTATTAGGAAAATGATTCAGATCTCTTGTTTCAGTGTTCCTCTGTTTCCCAACACCCACGGAATCTTATGGGGTAGTGGATATTTTTACTACACAGTAAACACACCACTACGAAGCTTAGTTTAACACGAGTAGATTGTACGGCCAACTAACGTAGGCCTTGAAGCGCTTCTGGCCTTTCCTATTATCACATCTTACAACACCTTAGACGGAGTAGGATAATGGATACTCTTACTCTGGCATCACACGGCTATATACAGATTTGTATTACATATTTTTGTTGTCTTAAAAAGTGTCTTATATACTTTATTTTATTAGGTACAATAGGTACGTATTTTTAGCGCTCTTTTTAATCTTTTATAATGTTAATACTTCTGGCCGTAAATAAAATGAAAAGTATTTTGATAATTAAATAAAGTGCGAATTAGGGGACAATTGAATGTTTCAAAAACATTTGATTGTAATTATATATTCGATTTACTTAAAATCGAACGGACTGCAAACATCACGTCACCGAATGTTCCCAAAACCGTCTGACCCGTATATGTGAGTGCCAAATAATGATTTCGCGACCTAACTCAACACGAAAGAAAGCGATGACCGAAGCACCATTTTAAAAATAAAACCATAATAAAGTGAACGCATACTTTTAGCCTGTACTGCAAGCAAATGCATAGGTCAATGCACCTACGCACACAGGCGATGTACCCACACTACAGAACGTATATCGTATAGGCTATCTTTTCTGCATAGTCCTTCCGTGAGCCGGTGTGAGTGAATTTGCATGTGTGCGAAGAATGCGTACATACGCGTGCGTTTGTAAGGAAAGATATTGTAGAATTATTTCCTAGATTAGGGTAGCCATTTATGAAATCTTTGAAGTGGATAAAGACGTTACGAGTTATATAATGTTTTTATATAATATAAAAATTCCAAAATACTGTTAGAACTTTAATTACAGTTATATAAACCTTTTCACTACGAAGAAATAAAAAACTATCAAATGGGCATGACTTTTTGGCTCATTTATATAAAATTTAGCTTAATTTAGAAGATTTTAATACATATATAGAATATACATAAAGAAATTATAAATTATCATATGTGACATTTTAGTGTTATAAAAAATTAATAGTAAAATGAATGGGCTTTTAAAATAATCGATTTAAAATACCAAATAAATTTTAATTACCAAATAAAAGAATGAACAATAATATTTCTTTAATATGTTTTCTAATATATTTATTAAGAATTTAAAACTTAGGTAAATAACTGGCTAAGCACTAGATGAAAAAAGCTATCAAATGGGCATGACTTTTTGGCTCATTTTTATAAAATTTAGCTTAATTTAGAAGAAATTAATACATATATAGAATATAAATAATATATAATCGATTTAAAATACTATATAAATTTTTTTTCGAAAATTGCTATCATCGATTTTTTTGAAGAATTTCTGTGAAAGCAACAGCTGTGTACCTAAGTTGCAAAATTGTAATACGTGAGAAATCTTACATTATTTAAATATTTATTCTAGCATCCATAAAGTCGAATGCAAATGGAAACCCTATTTAAATGCAACCAGATAGATATATTGCCATCGCCTTCATTGACATAGCGAATCGCATAGAAATATTGCCATCCTCGTATACTATAGCTAATCGGGCACTAACGGTACCATAGTCATATTTATTGATACTAAATATCGCCAGTTTTATTGGGCCAGTTAAGTAAAAGTGCGGCTAATATACGTCGATCATTTTACAATCCATATTTCATAGGTAATTGTTGTCAATATTAAAAAGAGAAAGAATACTTTTCTGGGTACCTACAGCTTAATCTGGCCATTCCGTTTTACGAGTACGCACTTAAAATTTTCAGTTACGTAGAGGTACATAAAAATAAAATTTCTTAAAAAGTTTTATTTAACGAAGATAGTTACAGTTCTACACACAAGAAGCTGTTGTTAAACTAAATTACACAGTTTTAATACTCTAAAATTTCATCCAAACCGTCTGAATGATAAAGCGAATTGGCTATTAATCACTATCCCATTTTCTTATTCTTTTAGAAGTATTCTACCTTACACAACTATTTTGTGTAATTTTCTGTCACCAGAAATTCCGAACTAACTACTAGGAACTTACAGACCTTCAAAGAAACCCACTTAAAGACCGGCAACACATCTGCAATTGTTCCTACTGTTGCAGATGTTCATGAGCAGAGGTGATCACGTATCATCAGATACGTGATAACAGTGATACGATATATGCAGCATGGCTCTACCATGTAAATAATATTTTACGTGGTAGAGCCATACTGCACCTATATAGTTATAGTACGAATGGGGTGGCTTGACCGGGGAAGGACCAGGCTCACACAGAATACGTAACGTAAAATAGCAACTTAATGCTGCTGTGCTTCGTATGGTGAGTGTAGAGAAGCGGAGACCCCTTTACTAGAAACGAGGCATTGCACCTTAGTTCTCAGGGGTGACAACGCATCTGCATATTGATTCTTAATCTCTTAAAAAAATAAGTAGATGTCCATGGGCCACAGCATCAACTTACCATCAGGTGGACTGTGTGCTCGTTTCTCACCCTTGTTCTATATAAAAATACATAATTTTCATGCTCGAAGGCTCAATAAGAAATATAATTTTAAAAACTTCATCGTACAACATTTGCAAGGTCTAATTCGTTTTAATTTACTTATTAATCGTAAATCTCATGTCTTCGTCATGTAATGATCCGAGTACTCCGTCGTTGTAAATGACCACGTATTCACATCATGTGTAATTCCGCCGCGAACTCCACTTTACAAAGATAATAGCATCTTTGAAACGCATAAATGCCTTAATTCGAAAAATAAAATGTACCTTAGACGTTGCAACGCAATTTGATTACTGTTCTTAAAAAAATGACAGTAGAAAGCATCGGGTTCAAATCCGAAATTTGACTACTGTGGTAAACTTGCGGTCCGGTCAATTCGCTATAAACGTGTAGCCCTACTGTAAATAAACGAGGTGCCAGTGGTATATTTTGTGAAATTATTTGACAAATCGTTTTCCAATAAAATTCAGGAAAACAATATGGTGGGGATTTAGAAGAAATTATCAATCCATTTTATTCAATGGGTATTGTTTGAGAAGACTTAGGAAAAGGCGAAGAAGATCTAGTGATATCCGATAGATGGCGGTATAATCATCTCGTATATATAACAGATATAATATTATCAGACCGGCCACTAGAAGAATCATCAAGGTGCGAGATGTCTGTTACTCTGATCACTAATCCAGATCAATGACGAATAAGATAAAACTTCCTCCTATGAGAGGGGCCCAAGTCAATGGCCTACTACGGACTAATTAGAACAAAGTCTTATTATGTATAATACGTAATCAATATGACTTTTTCTTTTTCTATTCAGGATGCGACCTGTCTCAATTTTCCAAAATAATAGCAACTAAATGAAGTAGATTAACGGTTTGGTAAGACATGCAGAAAGTCGATGGACGCAGCTGGTTCAGATCAGACGATGTTTTGTGGTATCCTCTTTTTTATAGGAATAGGATGAGAAACGAGTACACAGTCCACCTGATGGTAAGTGGCTGCTGCGGCCCATAGACATCTAGTTTTGACATTAGTCCTCGATCACGAAACAAAATGCAGATGCGTTGTCACTCGTAAGGACTAAAATGCAATGCCTCTTTTCCAGTAAAAAGTGTCTCCGGTTCTCTACACTCACCATACGAAACACAGCAGCGTTAAGCTGCTATTTTACTCTGATATTCTGTGAGAGCGCGGTCCTTTCCCGGTCGACCCGACTCATTCGTGCTACAACTATACTACTTATATAGCTGTAGCATGGCTCTACCACGTATAAAAGACCTACGTCCCCTTATGAGAGGCCTAAGTTCAGCAATGAACTTGTGAACGTCTGTGGTGATAAGAATAGCTATA